CTCCTCCTCCTCCTCCTCCTTCTCCTTCTCCTTCCTTCTCCTTTTTCTTCTTTTCTTCTTCTCCTTCTCCTTCTCCTCCTCCTCTTCCTCCTCCTTTTTTTTGTTATTGATCATGGTTCTGTACACCTTTAATCCCAGCACTCAGGAGGCAGAGGAAGGCAGATCTCTGTGAATCCCAGGGCAGTATGGTCAACATAGAAAGTTTGAGGCTAGCCAGGGCTACACAGTAAGATTGTGTTTTTTTTTTTAAGTTTGTTTGTTTGTTTTTCCCTTGCATCCTTACACACATTTCTTGACGACAGCCATTCTGACTGGGATGAGACAGAATTCCATTGTATTTTGATTTGCACTTTTCTGATGGCTAAAGACATTAACTATTTTCCCTGTGTTTGTTAGTAACTTGTACTTCTCTTAAGAACTATGTGTTCAGTTCATTTGCTCATTTATCAGCTGGACTCTCTGTTCTTTCTGTGTTTAACTTTCTGAGTTTTTACAATACATTCTGGGTACTAATCTGTCATATGGCTGGCTACAATTCCTCTCCCCGCTTTGTAGGATGCCTCTTTGCTCTAATTATCCTTTGTTCTACAGGAGCTTTTAATTTTATTATTTTGTTGTTTAGTTTTTTTTTAAAGGCAGGGTTTCTCTATATAGCCCAGAATGACCTTCAACTTGTGATACTTCTATTTCAGCCTCCCAAAATGCTGGGATTGCAGGTGTGTGCTACCCCAGCTTTAGGAACTTTTTTCATACATCACAGCTGTCTCCCCCCACCCCCAACTGCTTCCTTCTCCTCCTTCCTCCTCCCCCTCCCTCCTCCTCTTCTTTTGTGTGCTAGGAATCAAACCCAAGGTCTGTGCATGCTAGCAAGTGCTCTGCCATTAAGCTTTAACCTCTGCTTCCATTTATGACATTCCTGATACTGTTTTGGTCGCTGTTGAGAGTCCAGTTATGAAGCCATTGCCTATGGCCTGAAGTGTTTCCCTATGTTTTTCTCTGTCTGAGATTAGAGTCTTACCTCCCAATTGTTGATCTATTTCAAACTGATTTTTATACAGAGATACAGATCTAGTGTCAGTGTTCTACATGTAGACATCCAGTTTTTCCCAACATTGTGTGTTCAAGAAGTTGCCTTTTTCTCCAGCTTTATTTTGTAGCCAACAATGTAATGCTTCATTAAAAATTATTGTGTGAAAGTTTGATGGGAAACAGGGCACTTAAATAATCAAAAATATCACTCCTAAAGTTACTTATTAATTGAAAAGAGAAAACAAATGTATCCCTAAAATGGAGCAATCTGCCAGGCAAGGTGGAGCATGCCTGTAATGCTGGCACTTGGGGTGCTGTTGCGGATGGATCACACATTTGAGATCATTCTGGTCTATATAGTAAATCTGAGGCCTTTATGGCTACATAAAACTTTGCCCTCCCCCCCAAAAAACAAGCAAACAAATGAAAAACAAAACAAAATGGGGCTGGAGAGATGGCTCAGCAATTAAGAGTACTGGCTGCCCTTCCAGAGGACCCAGGTTCAATTCCCAGCACCCAGATAGCACCTTACAACTGTTTGTAACTCCAGTTCTAGGGGATCTGACACCTTTACACCAATGCACATAAGATAAAATTTAAACGTGTGTGTGTGTGTGTGTGTGTGTGTGTAAAAAAAAAAACAACCCAGGAGTGGTAGCACACACCTTTAGTGCCAACATTCAAGAGGAAGAAGATCTCTAAGTTTGAAGCCTGCCTAGACTACAAAGTGAGTTCAAGAATAGCTAGGGCTACACCCTGTCTCAAAAAACCAAACCAAACCAAAGAAAACCATTGAGGTAGCCAGGCATTATGGTGTACACCTTTAAAACCAACTCTTAGGAGGCAGAGGCAGAACTCATCTCTATGAGTTCAAGGCCAACCTAGTCTACATAGAGTGTCAGGCCAGCCAAGCCTACAAGGTGAGACCATTATAAAACAAACAAGCAAACAAACAATAGCCAGATCTTTCAATACCACCTTATAACTAGTCAAACTGAGCATCATCGTGACGAGCTGATTTGTGTATGTGCTTTTGTTTTATTTTTATCTTTTCAGGCAGAGTCTCACTATGTCACCCAGACTGGCCTGGAACTCTTGGGCTCAAGCCATCTTCCTGCCTTAGTTCCTGAGCTGCTGGGACTACTGGCACGTGCTTCTTGATGTGATGCAGTGGGAAGTACACAACATCACTTGTGAAATATTCTTACCAAGAATGTATAATGTAATCTTGAGAAGTCCATCAAATAAACACAGATGGTGAGACATTCTATGAAACAATTGACCAAATTCTTTAGAAGAAAAAAAGTTTTGTCAAAGAAAGAGACCAGAACTGTTACAGATTAAAACAGGATCTAGAAGAGCAGAGGAGGGTGTAGCTCCTGCCAAGCCTGAACAAGGTCTTGAGTTTCATCCCCAGCTACAGAGTGGAAATGCTTGGAGATAAAGATTTAATCACTATAGATATCTAAAGGAAAATATAGACTTGGGCAATAATAAGTTCTAATGAAAAAGACAACTTTTTTTTTCTTCTTTTTTGTTTTTGTTTTTTTGAGACAGGGTTTCTCTGTGTAGCCCTGGCTATCCTGGAACTCACTTGTAGATCAGGTCGGCCTCGAATTCAGAGATCCACCTGTCTCTGCCTCCCAAGTGGCTGGTATTAATGGCATGTGTCACCACCACCCAGCTCTTAAGTTGACTTTTGAAAGAAACAAATAATCAAAGCTAAATCAAGAGGAAGTTTAAAAAAAAAATCCAAGCAACTGAATAGCTATTAAACACATTGAATTAGTAGTTTAAAATACTCCAGCAAAGAAAACTAGCGGCACATGACTTCATTAGTGGTATGGTACTGTCGTAAGCTTTAGTTGTCAACTTGACACACTTGAGAAGACAGAACCACAACTGAAGAATTGCTCCACTGGGTTGGCCTCTGGGCACCTCTGGGTGTGGGGTTCTTAACTGGCGGTTGATATAGGAGGGGCTAGCCTGCTGTGGACAGTGTCAGGCTTGGTCAGGTAGGCCTGGGCTATGTAAGGGAAGCAGACAGGCAAGCCAGTAAGCAGCTTTCCTCTGTGGTTCCTGCTTCCAATGCCTGCCTTGGCTTCCCTCAGTGATGGACTGTAACCCGCAACATGAAATGAACTCTCTCCTCCCAAAGTTGCTTAGGGTTATGGTGTTTATCACAGCTACAGAAAGCTAACTAGAATACACGATTTGGTTGTGGTGTCCCCTACAGTATTTAATTTGGTCCCAGGTGGTGGTACTATTTGGGGGAAGTTGTAGAACCTCTAGGAGGCGGGGCCTGGCTGGAGGAAGTAGGTCACTGGGGGAGGGCCTTATAGCCTGGCCCACCTCCTGTCCTATCTCTGCTTCATAGTCATTGGGATGTGGATAAGGTGTTCCACTGCACACTCCTCCTGCCAGGAAAGCACCCCGCCACCATGTCTTCTCTGCTGTGGTGGGCTCTATTCCCCTAAACAGTGACCAAAATAAATCTTTGCTCTTCTAAGTTGCTGTAGCCAGCCAGGTACTTTAGCAGAACAAGGAGAAAAGTAACAAATAGAACTATTTAGCTTTAAAGAAACAATACTTACGAAAGTATTTGCTTGAAACAAAGTATTAGTAAATAGAATTTCAGCAATATGAAGCCTGTTATAGTGGTCAATTCCTGTGACCACTTGAGAGCCTGAGGCAAAGCCAGCCATAATGGCGAATGCCTTTAATTCCAGCAGCAGAGGCAGGTGGATCTCTGTGAGTTTGAGGCCAGCCTAGTCTACATAGTGAGTTCCAGGACAGCCAGGGCTATGTAGTCTCAGGGAGAGAGAGACAGAGAGACAGAGACAGAGAGAGACAGACAGACAGACAGACAGACAGACAGACAAAGAGAGACAGAAAGACAGAGAGACTGAGGCAGAACTGTGAATTGAAGACCAGCCTGGCTACATCCTGAGACTCTGTTTTGAAAAGCATGTGTATCAACAATATACTTGCTCATAGTTTGAGCAAGTGAAATTTACACAAAAGTCCAGGGTTGACTTAACATTCACTAGTCACTCGTTTTAATTCACTACATTAACAAAATATATGAGTACAGCCATATGATTATCTTAATAGTTAGAGGGAAAATCTTTCCAAACCATGATACCCATTCATATTGTTTTTAATCTACTAAAAGTAAGAAGAGATTGACTCTCTTTCACCGTAAAAGATCACTTAGGTAACTCTCAGAGCAAAGCTGCATTTCATTTTCAGCCGACTGCTTTCCCTCAGATGGCTGCACACTCACCATCTCTGTTCAATTTGTTGCGCCCTCCATCCTAGCCAGCTGGCTCCAGGACAACACTGTAAACATGCACATAACCTTTGACCCAGCAACTCTACTACTAGAAATGAACCCCAAGGAATTGTAGGTTCTTCTTAAACTCATTTTTACAGCTCTTTATTTGATGTCTCCTATTGTGCGTCTAACAGGCATCCAAAATTGATAATGTCCCAAGCTAAATTCTCAATTTTATCCCATAAAACATCTGCTGCATTTCCTGCATTTCCAATCTCACTTAATTAACCTACCATCACCCACATTGCTCAGGATTATCAACCTTTTTACTAGTCGAGTGCACACACACACACACACACACACACACACACACACACACACACTCTCTATTATGTCATCTAATAGCATGAGAATAGACTGTATTTTATGTATATGTATATTACACATATATGTATTAAGAATCAGATAACTTCTTACCTTCACTGTTGAGCGCCACTGGTTCTAATTAAGGGTGCCATGATCTCTCAAATAACCACTGTGGCTTTGTCTGGCTGAGCATGAGTCATGCTCAGGTTCAGGCACTGAGTCAATTTAACCCAAAGTGCCTGTATGAATAGATACCAGAAAGAAACAACAGACTTGATCTATAATGCAGTAGCATTGTTGGTTAATTGCTTAGATTCTCTTATAAATACAAAATACTTCTATACACATACAGAATGAGGTAGAAGGAGAATGTGAGAAATAAGTCCAGTGTTCAGCTCACATGATGCTCTAATGTATGTTCATGTGAAGCATATTTTCAAATTTAACTTACTTTATGCAATCTTTAAAAAATCATTTCTCATAGATGTTTTTAATTACTAGCGCTAGTTTTTTTAAAAAGTCAGATGCTGAATAGATATTTTTCACATGGAATAGAACAGTGGAATGGCATGTGCGAGTTTATAAAAAGTTCTTCAAAATAATTTTTCTAAGATGTTTTAAAATTTACTAGTAGTGCATTTAAAACATAGAAAAAGACCTGATTTATACCTTCGTTCAAATATAGTTTAAAATTTCTGTTCAACTTATTGCTAATTTCTCTGGTTTCATCATTAGGCCCCAAGAGAATAGTTTTCTTCATCTGAAACACATAAATATAGGGCATAGTTCTATGAAACATTCCTAGTCTTATAAAAGTTACCCTGACTTGATGTAGATGCAACTGAGGTCATTATATTAACTGAAATAAGCCTGACACAAAAGGCAAGTGTCACATGATCTCACTAACCTCTGGGGTCTGGAAATTCATCTCAGTGAAGAGTAGAATGGTCATCACCTAAAGCTGGGGAGAGGAGGAAGCGGGGATGGGGAAAATTGATCAAGGAGTTCTAAGTTAGAGAAAGGAGCACAATGTCTGGTGTGCACTGTAGCAGAGTGACTGTAGCTGATGATAATGAGCTAATTCAGAAGACTAGAAGAAAAGATAGCAAACGTTTCCACCGTAAGGAAATGTTCGAGGAGACAGCTATGTCTACCCTGAGCCAAACAATACAGAATCTATACAATTAAATAAACACCACACAATATCCAATTAGCATGTATAATTTTGTGCTTTTAGATATCAGTTAAAAATAAATGTAAACTTAATATTACCCTGATTGCTTAACTACGGCAACTTTGTATGCAAAATTTCAGAAGTATAACTCTTTAAAACAGAAAGGTTCCTTATACTTAAACATGAATTATTACTGCTGTTTAAGAAAGTGTGTCCGTGGAATGCCACTTACACTTTCAGTACACATGTACGATCTGTTCCTACTATATATGGCGTCACTCACGGTATGTGAGGTTTGTAAGGCAGGCGGACCCTACAGTCAAGAGTGGTGACTTGGCTTTTGCTTACACGGAATGCCAGCTTACATGCATGTGGCTTGTGCTGCCTTCTCACAACCCAGCTACTTAAATGTAATTAATTCAGCCAAGCCTGTGTGTCAGGGCCAGAGGATATTGATGACTTCTGGCTGTGTTTGATCTTTAGTTTTTGGTCCTAGATACTAAACCCAAGGCCACACACATGCTAAGAACACTCTACTATTCGGCTTCAGACTTGTTTCGATCTTAGAATCTTCACCTGCCCGCCCCATCTCTATAAGTGACCCCTTTATAAATCCTCTTTAATTCTTTTGGTTATGTCACGTGCTTTGTGTAAGTGCTTTAGTTGATATAACCTGGTACACGAATCCTAAATGGTCTTATAATAAAAACATGGAGCCAGATTATTGGAGTAAATGCTGAAAGATCAGAGAGACAAAGGAACAAGCCACAGCCACTTCTTACCTCTCCAACTCCACGAATCCTCAGACTGAATGTCTCTGAGTCCTCAATCTAAAGGGCTCTAGTTCCTGTCTCTTCATACCTTACATGCCTTTATCCACACAGCCATTTCACTTCCTATCTCAGCCTTCCTAGTGCTGGGATTAATGGTGTGTGTGCCTCCCAAATACTGGGATTAAAGGTGTGTGCCACCACTGCTTGGCCCTGTTTGTCTCCTACACTGGATCAATCTCATGTAGCCCAGTGTGGCCTTGAACTCACAGAGCTCCAGATAGATCTCTGCCTTCCGAGTGCTAGGATTAAAGGTGTGTGCTATCACTGCCTGACCTCTATGTCTAATCTAGTGGCTGGCTCTGTCCTCTGATCTTCAGCTGGTGGCACTGTTTGGAGATGTTGTGGGGTTTTTTGGAGTGAAGCTTTGCTGCAGGAAGCAGTCACTGGAGGCAGACCTTGAGGGTTTATAGAATCACATGACTTCCTGTTCTCTCTGCTTCCTATGTGGGGATGAAAATGTTGCCAGCCAGCTTCCTGCTCATGCTGACATGTCATGCCTTCCCCAACAGTATGGATGCTCCATTTGGAACCATAAACCAAAATAACTTTTTCTTCTATAAGTTGTTTTGATCATGGTATTTTATCACAGTAACAGAAAAGTAACTAATACTACAGGCAAGTGTAA